GAATGGCTTCAGACTGTTCCGACTGTGTCCCCTAGTAGTCCCATAGAATGGCTTCAGACTGTTCCGACTGTGTCCCCTAGTAGTCCCATAGAATGGCTTCAGACTGTCAGCTGGTTAGTATGAGGCTTAAAGCCACTTAGGTTAATTTTAGAGAAAATGACCTGGGCTAGGCTAAAGTAGACCGGTGTACGGCAGACTGTTGCCTTCCAACGTATTAGTAGGTAAACAGTCTGAAGCCATTCTATGGGACTGATAACCGCTGATAACGTCCATGGACTGATAACACCCGARCTGGCTGGCTCTACTGCAGTCAGTCACACATACGGTGATAATATTATTTACAYAAATTTTAAACATCACCTTTAAGTTTCTTTAAGTGATGCCGAAGCGGTGACTCGAGTGATAAAAATACTCACACAGACACACACAAACGATAGATGCAGCAAGTTAAGACACAGTAAAAACACCAACCTTTTTAACATTTCCACTCACTTTCCAAGTCTGTGGAAGACCTCAACCCTCCACACAACATTTYAACTGCACTTTCCTGTGACTCCTGAAGTTGAATGAATCGAAATTTGCTCAAGAAACATCTTTATCTGTTCCGGTAGCTATTAACACTGAACCTCTGTAGAATCCACTCAGCTTGTCCAATCATTTGTGAGCGCGGCAGGTAATGGATGCAAATGATAAGCGTGACGTCATGTGTGAAGGTCCCCATTTATTGCATTTAGTTTCCAGCTAACTTATTTGATATTTTTAACAAGACTTTTTCCACTTGTGCTTTTAAATAGTTTTTAAATTATTTATCTGGTGTATTCCTACTTTTTTGCCCTTTTGCAGCTTTTAGTTTTGGTTAGCCTCCTGCTAGTTTGAATTTAAGCTACCCTTTTATATTTTAGCTTTTAGCTTGCTTTTTGCTATTTTTAGCTTTTAGCTACACTTTACTTATACTTTAGCTTCTTAGTAGGTTTTGTTACATTTAGCTAGTTTTTGTTAGCTTTTAAGTTCTTTTAGCATGTAGGCCTGCATTTAGCTTCCAGTTAGCTTTTTGATACTTTTAGCAAGCCTTTTTCCACCTGTGCTTTTAAGTAGCGTTTTTAATCATTTGTCTGATGTGTTCCTACTTTTTGCTAGTGCTTTGCTGTTTTTTGCAGCCAGCTATTCTACTACCTGGAATTTTAGCTAAAATACTTTAGATTCTAGCGTGTTTAAAGTGTAGTTTTTAGATAAAGTTTAGCAACGCTTTACTACTACTTCTTTAGCTTCTTGGTTGCTTTTAATCATTTTAGATGGCATTTTGATACATTTAGTTAGTTTTGTTTAGTTAGCTTTTAATTTATTTTAGCTTCTTGGTAGCAACCTTCTGCATTTAGCTTTAGCCTTTTGCTATTTTATAATTCAGCTAACCTTTTGCCATATTAGCTTGTAACTAGTTTTAACTGCTTTTAGYGTTTGACAAACTTTTTGCTAATTTTATATTTTAGCAGTCATTACGTTACTTTTAGCATTTGGCTAGTGTTTCGCTTCTTTTAGTTGGTGGGCTTCCTTTAGCATTTAGCTGATATTCTGCTTCTTTTAGCGTTAATAACTGTTTTAGCTACTTCTGTAAATAGTAAATGACTTGAACTTTTAAAGTACCTTATCAAATCCACGTGGACTCCAAGGTTCGTTACACTACAATCATTCACCCATCAACACACTGATGATGCTGGTGATGGTAGGCTACATTGTAGCCACAGCGCCCACTAGCAGTAGGTAAGGCAGGTGAACAACAACTGAGACAGCTGGAATGGGGATTGAACCGGTGACATACTGGTTCCAGGACGACTACCTAACCACTCCACCACAGCCGTCCCCAAACTGATTCAAAAGTATACGGTCCTTCGGCTCTCATTTCAGTGAAATGTAGTTTCTCAGGATCCTTTAGTTCTTCAAAGAATGATTGTTTTCAGGAGTTCAGGAGTTCAGGAGTGCAGATCAATAGAAACATTTGTAAGATGAATATTTTTCCTACAGTGGACCCACCTGTTCCCACTTGTCAGGACGGACTCTACCTGCCTGTATTGGTGTCTCCAACACCTGCAAACGGACAGCGCATCACTGCAGAGGTCCACAAAGAGGTGGAGATCAGAGTGAAAGCACAGGCTGCCTATTCTTCGTAAGTTGGACCCAGTCTGGTGAAACGTAGAGGCTGCATCGGGAACACAAACTAACTGCTTAGTTTCTCCCACAGAATYCAGAACATCATCATGAGTGGGCCCACCAACATCACCAAACACAGGACCACCAAGGATGAGTTCGTCATTAAGTGGACGCCGACAGCGGACGACCTGGGAGATTATTACCCACTCTGCTTCGCTGTGGAATCTGTGTCGGGGTGAGACTCAGCTTGGCTTTGTTTTGGACAGAATTAGTTTAAAAATGACCAAGGTTAAAGTTTGGTTTTATATTTTCAGCCATGATGAAACGAGAAGCAAAAAACTGCAACAACCTTTTAGTCAACAGAAAGCCCAGCTCATTACTTTAGCTGATTATTTAGCTGAATAATCTAAATATTTTAATTTCTGCTGTGCCTCAGGTCATCCATCTATCAGTCTGAGATGAGGTGCGTTATAATGGACGTCAGGAAGGAACAGAGTGAGTCTGATCTTGATGATAGGTTCTGTCCAGCCCTTGGACCTGATGTCTTCACGTGTCTGTATCTGCTCCAGTTGCAGCCAGGGTCACCTGCACTGAATCCACCATGAAGGTGGAGGTGGAGAGGCGTTCCTTCTTTGGACTTGGTGAGGATCACCTTCGCCTCAGTGACCCCACCAACACTGTCTGCAGCCTCAGGAGATACTCCAACCAGACTCACATCACCGCCATCATCCCCCTCAATGCTTGTGGGACTCAGATTGAGGTAAACACGGCTCATCTGGTACCAGCCCACTTCAGTTGTGTATTATTCTCATTACAGGGATCCACGATTAGACTTTATTTGATAAACATTTATTTTAACTGTAAAATAAAGACTGTAAAAATACTTTAGTTTTGTAAATTTATTAAAATATATTTTAACACGAACAAGGCCATTTTATTTCCACACAAAGCATTCTGGGTAAATGATGACGTGGATAGGTCCTCGGTGCGAGGCTGCTAGCGAGCTATATCCACCCTGAAGG